ATATATATATATCAAAGGAAATCGATATTTGGCAGAGACATGTGCCTATAATTCGATCCCCCAAGCACCACGGTAGGGATCGAACTCTTGCCAGAGGGGGCTTACGATGACCCTGCCTACCAACTGGACAAGGAATACGACACGCGCGCGCACACACACACACACACACACACACACACACACACACACACACATATATTGAAGGAATGGTCGGAGGCTATTATACGAGCCTCGACCACCCCTCATGCGACTAATAATTCTAGTACTACACACACACACACACACACACACACACACACACACACACACACACACACATATATATATATATATTGAAAGAATGGTCGGAGGCTATTATACGAGCCCCGACCACCCCTCATGCGTCTAATAATTCTAGTACTACACCTTATACTCGTGGGGATCAAACCCCGGACCAGAGTGACTTACAACTGACAAGCAGATTTTATTATAAGCTTGTGTGGGAGTTTTATTGTAGAGATTTACTAGTTTGAAATGAAAGTTAGTGATTAGTAAATTTTCTTATTTTATTACAAGTCGACTTGCAAGCCGACTCAGTTCACTTCCACCCCTATAGTATATCCTACAGTAGACTTAACATTTGTTCTACATTTGATGAGCTCAACCGCAGCTCCTATCCAAATAAGAGAGTTATTTTACCAATTATATGGAGAAACCGATTAAATTTATTCCAACATTGTCAACAATAACATCAACATATGAAGAAACAACCATCCTACTAAACTTTAGATGGTGGTTAATGCTGTGTGCCAAACATGACACACCTCTCATATTTTCAATTTAACCTTTGTTTAAAAAAAGTTATAATTTTTTGAAATTATCCAATCGTACCTGATTTTTTCTGACACTGACCACATTTACCATTTGCAGTATGGATGAAGCTTGCACCGCTAGTCAGGAAAAAGAGAACAGAAACAACATGAAAATGTTCTGAACATAAACAATACGACTCTGTGTCACCCTACCATTTGTTAGGCGTTCAAAGAAAACAATCAAACTACTCCAGATTTATGATGACCTCGCTGCAGAGAGAAGCTGAAGAATTGGAGTCCGTCCACGGTGGAAAAACTGAACCGGATCTCAATGCTGGGCTGCTTGAAACACTGTAAAATCTGAATTCAATGGATATAATTTATTAGATGAAATTGTTTGCACATATTGAATCTTCTGTTAGTCCCCCAAAACACATTATTAGATTTTTATTGGAAATAATATAGTGATGCAAAAAGATCTCAGAAGCACTGTTGCAGATAATGTAAGACTTTTCAACTGAGCTGTGGTACAGAAAAACTTGAGAGTAATGGGATAAGACAACACCATTATTTAACATACCATCAAAACATAGAATCAAATTTTAATTGATATATATATATAGAGAGATGCAGTTTGAAGATAAATCCTCTTGTATCCATCATCGCACAGATTTATTCACTAGAAAGCTAAATACAAAACTGGATAACATTTAGGAACAAAAGATAAAATACAGATACAGTGAAAGGACAACTATAAAATCCTCATCTCCCCAATATACTTGTAAGATAATCTGTGAAGCTCCAGAAGAAAACTATTAAATAGTATGAGAAAAGAGCTCCAGAACTAAGCTCAAAAAAGAGAGCTGAAAGGAGCATTGAAAACTCCATAAAGTACAAGAAATTTGCCAAGGAAACCAATTTCAAACTAACTGCAATTGAAACACAAATATAGCTCAGAATTAAAAAAAAAAGAAAAAAATCCACTGTAACAATACGCTTGCCAAGACAACTGGTCATAAGTATATGAAAACCTCAAAATCCAAATCCAAATTTGAGTACACTTCTCCAATTCATAGCCATAGTAGGCTTCCAACTCTGAATCCAAATCCGAGAAAACTTCTCTAAGCTCATTATTCATAATAATAAAACACTTAAATAGTAAAAAAAGCTCCAATGAAAAATCCCACACCAGTACTTAGCCAAAATTTCAGAGAAAAAAGATAGAGGAAATACTTTAAAAAAAAAATTTTGAGTGATCATAAGCAGGGAGGACCAGAAATTGGTCGAGTCCAGGAGCATAAAAAAGTTCATCATAGCTGTCCAAAGCATCTTTAAAACAAAGATGAATGCAAGCTTGCAGTATCTGAATCTTATCATAGAAAATATAGGAGCAAAAATAAAACATGCATGTATCATGGAATAGAGGGAAGGAATCCAAAGTTAGATAAATCAGGCCAAGAAGAAGAACCATTATATCCGAACAGCCAGAACAATATGTCAGAACAACAGAATAATAAAACCAACATAATCAGAAGCAACCAAATGAGGAGACAACCAAGAGAATAGCAGATGGAATAATCTCTTTTAAGTTTCCCACTCCTGCTTTTGCAATTGACTGTCCAAAGACTTCTATGAAAAGGAGAGTCCATAGAATTATTAGAATTTTGAAAGATTCTCTTATTCCTTTGAATCCAAATATGATGGGCAATAACTTTAAGATTAGCAAATAAATTTTTTTGACAATCTTCAAAAGTATCCACAAGATAAAGACCTTGAAAAATATTACTTCCAACTAAATAGAAAATCACATTAGGAACACATGTACACATTAAATTTTGTGAAAAGGAGCATTCAAAAGATAAATGTGTATGAACCTTTATAGAAAAATGACATAAAATGCAATTATAAGTGGCAGAAATGTCTCTAGCAACCAATTATAAGTGGTAGAAATGTCTCTAGCAACAGAATATTTTAAGTTTAAGCTCACCATGTATAATTTTCATAACCATGAAGACAAATATGAACCCTTGAACCAAGGATGTCTGCTCCAATTAACCTTAACCAGGCAATTATAAATAAAAAGATCAAATCTTTTTTTATCATAATAATCAAAACCCTGCTAGTGACGTAAGACAAATATGAAATAAAAACCTTGAACCAAAGATGTCTGCTGCAATTAACCTTAACCAGGCTATTATAAATAAAAAGATCAAATCCTTTTTTATCATAATAATCAAAACCCTGCTAGTGACGATTCTTTATATTCTCCATAATAGAACTTTTGTGAATAAGCAGTAAACATTTAGGAGCAGAGTTATTAGCCTTTAGAGCCCAAATCCCAGTAGAAATAACCACATTGATTTTGGCATGCAAAGGATAGTAGAACCATAAAAACGACATAGCCAAAATTTTCGAATAGAAACATACCTTCCGACCATAGGTCAAAGTAAAAAAAAAAAAGTTGCTATTATGATAAATATAAGAAGAAAGGCACAAGAAATTCTAGAAAGGCAAAAGAAATTCTGGACAATTCTTTCCAAAAATATAGACCTTTAGATACCAAAGGGAGTCATAATGCTTAAAGCATCAATTGGGAAAACCTCCAAATGATTTTGGCCTTACACATCATATTGATAATATCCAATATAGAAATGCCAAGATCGCCAAAGTTCTTGGGAGAAGTAATGATATTCCAAGCAATAGTACGAAGCTTCCTTTCAGCCGAACTATGATGAAGAAAATTATTTCATAAAAAAAGAGAGCTTCTTCTTTAACTCTTTGGGAATATTGGTTGATTTGAACCAATAATAAAGAAAATTCCATATGGTAGTTTTAATAAGTTGCAGTCTAGCTACAGTTGATAGAATCATTTGTTTCCATCAAGAAAGATAAAAGATTTAGTTTATCAATGATTTTATGACAATCCATAGCATTTAGCTTGCTCCCTTCAATGGCAAGTCCTAAGTAATCCCGAGGCAGAGGTTTAAGTTATAAACCACTAAAATCACACTTATCCTGCTGTAAATTACTGTTTATAGTTTTTGAGAAACATATAACAAGATTAGTATGCTTATTGAAAATGTTATGCATATTATTCAGGGATGAAATTGATTGTAAATCAGCACTTCTAAAAATCGGGAGATCATTAGCATAAATGAGATGAGAGAAACCATTATAGCTGGTAGAGATTTCACTGTCCTTGAAGGACTCTATCAGGGATGAACAAGCATTTATTACCAAAGTAAATAAGTAAGGAGATAAATGACATTTTTGCCTTAAACTAGAAGTGGAAGAAAAATGTCCTTTAGTCTCTTTATTCAAAATGATAGAGAAACTAACATCATTAGTGCAAGATTGAACCCAACTTATGAAAATTATAGGAAAGCCCAATAAATCCATTTTATTATAAGAAAATGATCTATTAAGATGATCGAAGTTTTTTTTTATCAATTTTAGAACAAAATCTCTTCAAAGCATTGGAACTATTGAACCTATAAAGAAATTCGTTAGCAAGTATAATATTATTTGCAATATTTCTACCAGCAACAAAAGCAGCTTGAGAATTATGAATAATGCTATGAAGAACTACCTTAAGCCTATATGTCAAAAGCTTAGCAATGACATTGTATATAGTGTTACAAAGCGAGATAGGTCGAAAGTCATTAATAGTCTGAATATTAACTTTCTTTGGAATTAAAATAATGGTTGGATGTTTAACACTGTTAGAGAGTCTACTAGAATTAAAATAATGCTTAATGGTCACAATACAATTAATTCCAACAATATCCTAAAAATATTTGAAAAATTTATATGTGAAACCATTCGAATCCAGTGCTCAATTAGAACCAATAAAAAAAGACCTTTTTAATTTCCAATTTAGAAAAATAAGCAATAACAGCATAGGAATCAATGTGATGTAAAATTGGAAAAGCATCAACATCATATAACTCACAAGAAGAGTTATTCAACAACATAGAAAAATAGGAAATAACATGATTAAAAATATCATTCTAGGAAGTTAGAGTTTTATTATCAACAAGGAGCTCCTTTATAATGCAATAATTATTTATAGCTTTGATCCTTTGATAAAGGAAATTAAGATAATCTTCACCCTTAGATAACCACCTAAATTTTGATCTTTATTTAATCCATTTATATTTACAAGCTGAAGAATATTTTAGATCTTGTTGAATAAATATGGCATGAGCAAGAAGTTTATTATTAATAGGATCATTATGCAAAAGAGCAAAAATATTAGCCTGCTCCAGTTTAAGATCTTTAATGGTAGAAGAAATGGAAGTGGAAGGATTCTCAGTTCCACTTTTGAAGAGAACTTAACATTATTAAACTCATTACACAAAGTAACAATGGGATCAACTTTCATTGGATTATTCCAAGCAAAAGAAATTAAAAAAATGAAAATTTGGGCAGTAGCTGAGATAATTTTTATAATGAGATTTATATTTAATATTACTAAGTGGCCCAAAATGAATAGAAATAGGATAATGGTCATATGTAAGAGGATTAAACACTTTATAATTGGAAAATGGGAAATTGTCCAACCATTTGTTATTACAGAAATCCCCATCCAAAAGACATTGAATTGGTTTGTGAATAAAAAGATCGAAACACCCACAATTGTCCCCGCAAATTTCCACCTCTTCCCGATCAACACAGGTTTTCACACATCCACAAATTCCCACAACTCTACCACTTCACCATGTTGCGTCACCTTTCACATCACCCGCCAATATATGACTAGGGACCCGTTAATTCACATTTTCAATAAAAATAACATACACTACTTATCCTACATTTATAGCCCAATGCTCAAGGATTTGAGACTTCGGTAAGATATTCAAATCCTTGTGAGCAACTGGAGTATTTGTTAATGTCACATATGGATCATCGGGCTTGTGTAAGTCAGAGGTCTAGGTGGCGAGGGCGATGACAACTTTGCTTATGTGTGCTAAGCGGGGGATACAAAATGTGATTTAGAATAATTTCTCCTACTTCGATGATCCTTATTAAAAAGAGGGGATAGGACCGATGATAAACTCACCAGCTTTGATAGGAGTTGCCCCTAGCATTCATAGGTTGCTGGTAGTTCTAGCCTGATTAGAGTAATTAGCCTATAGACTATACTATTTTACAAAAGAAATATACTTACAATATAAGAAAACAAAGATCCCATTTGGTGACATGATTATTTTTGCTACATGCATGAAAAATTAAAAAATTTTGATGAAAGCTTATAAAGGTCTATAGGTTAATCATTTGGATCGAGGTTAAGAGTTACCCCTCCTCGGATAGCCGGGTTGGTTTCTTTTATCCAAAGTTGAAACTATGAAGCACGTAGCCTAGCTTTGAGCCCCCACGTTTACTAAATTCTTACACTCAATCCTGACCTTTCATATGTGACGACGGTTTTGTCTTACTCTATTTTCAACGACTAGTTTGGGTTTTCTTATATCGGATTTTCTTGTAATTTATTTAAATTTTCTGCAATTATATTATGTTTATTATACTAACCATGCAACAGCAGCAGGAGCGTCAGTTATGTCTTTACATTTTATTTATTGCAATTTTATTACTTTTTTTAACTGTTACTTTACTTTATTATGCATGTTTTACCTGTAAAACAAAAATTTACCTTCAAAAAATTAATACACCTTTAAATCCTTTTTGAGCGCACTTAATCTACTCCTTTTGAATTTACGAGGATCTCTCGGATGAGGTAACCTACAGTTGCTAACGAGAATTCTTCGATCTAAATGAGCTTAACAGCTCGCTTAAATTCAAAAAAAAAAATAGTGATGCTAGGACGACAGAACCGTAAAATCCTGACCGGTGTCGCTTAACTTAAATTAAAATTCCCTCAGAATACTCTAATAATAAAACCTAACAATAACAAAACATAACATATAAACTGCAAACCTTGGAGCTACCACTATAGCAAAGAGCTAGGAGTGGACTTTGTGGCCAGCACGACGAGGCCACAACGTAAAGAAGAACATCTTTAAGAGAACAAACAAAGTTTACTTCAACTAAACCTTTCCTAGTTTAAACAAAAAATCATAAGTTTTCGAAGTTTTCTGCCTATTGCGACAAAAACCCTCATCTTATCTTTAGGCTTTTGCACAATCATGTTGTGCAATATAAGCCCTAACTTGTTTGGGATTCCGAGGTCGTCATTCGGTATGACTTAAATTCTCCTATCTTTTAGGTTATTTGCATGGTCGGATATCATGCAAATTTAAGCTCTCAATAATAAAATTTATAGGAATCAAACATTAAAATAACATTATCTTCAAAATTAAAGCCAAACAGTGGGAAATTTTAGAAAGTCACTGAGGTTCTCCTCAAGATTTATGACATCCCCTACTTCTTTTTTCCTTTAGATTCCTAAAATAATTGCTCTTATTTGATTCGCTCCCATTGATTTTTTTATGTCCAATCTTAAAAACTAAACTTAGAAATCTTGAACACAAATATCTTTGATCATTAACGAGAGTTTTCTTCAGTGACTTTAGTCGCTTAGGATGTAATTAACTATAGGGGT